AAATTTTACTTTTGAAATATTAAATTAATTAATACAATGTAATAGGATTGCCATTAATTTCCATGGTATTAAAATTTACAATTAAATAACGTTAAATTGTGATTGCATTAAAAAAAATCTATCAAGTATTCTATAAGATGTACAGTTTACTTGTTTTATGTCAGAGACAGTAAACAGTAGATCTAGATGTTATATAATATATAATTTATAATATCCTTAATTGGCTTAATATTATAAAAAGACAATAATTAATAAAAAGTATGTGGCATCATTAAAAATGAGAGTCTGATACTTTTTTTTCAATCATTTATGAATTTTCAATTTTTTTGAAGAATATGTGAAATTATAACAAAATTTGATTATTAGTAAATTTTTATATACGTTTTAATATATATGCATTATTGATTTTGTGAAAATATTAAATAATTTTTCCATGTAATTATTAATATAAAAAATCTGTCGTACAAGTTAAAGTAGTGGAGAAGTTTATTAAACAAGTTTTATTAAACAAGTTATTAAATATTAAATTATTAAATTTCATATTATTAAACAAGTTAAAATAATGGAAAATAATAGAAAAGAAAGAATTAAAAAATGTATACTATATTTAGTTGTGGCCTTATTTTTACAAATATCTTATTATTTCTTTATTCCTAATCCTCTAATAGATTAAATAAATAGATCGTTTTGTTTCATTTCATAAACCCACTTCAATTTCTTTTTTTGTTATTTATATAAGTTTGTATAAAATCAATAATGTCGATTATTATTATTGTGACAATTTCTTTTTATAAGAGAGAAAATCAATTATAATTTGAAAAAGTTTTATGAACATCAGAACATATAAATTTTGTTTAATACAATCCAAATTACTTGTACTGAGAACATTGTACAATTACTACTTTTAGCCTAATTACCAGATTTTAAATAAATGCTAATTATAAATTATATAAAAATTTTTTATGTATTTTGAAATTGTAGAATCTCAATAGGATAGCCTTTTAAATTTTCTAATATTCTGTTTGAAATTGAAATGTGTGACTCATTATAATTTTCCAACTGGAAATCATTTTAATAACTCATTATTTTATAATGATATTTATAATTTTCATATTTATGATTGTTTTAAAGGGAGCTATAATTATATTTGATTTTTAAATTATTTTTGGATATTTGAATTATTTTAAACATTACACTAATGTTAATAATCGTAATGTACTTTTCAACCACTAATTTCTTAAAATTATTTATAAATTTTTTATAGAAATATGAAAGTGACAAAACTATTTACTTAATAAAAGGAAGATGGACTTACATTTTCCTGAAGATGTACCGAAAATATTAACAAGAGTTACTCAACAAAATTCGAACAACGTGACTATTATGGAAAAGTTTTAAATTATTTTTAGACAAACAAAAATAATATCTTTGTACAAATGCATAAAGTTCTAATTTTTATTATTATTTATATTTTAAAGTAATCAAATTAATTTCTATACATTGGGATACAATTAATTATAAAATCCTTTTAAAAAACTATCGATATAGTTCCGATCGATATAGTTATAGTTTTTTATTATATTATAATCTATTCAACATATATTTTATTATATATGCATCAACTATTTAAAAATTTCTATTCATAATTTATGAAGTTTTATTTATTTAATATTTCAAATTTATAATACACATAATAGATATAATGAAATATAAATGACTATAAATTATATGAGAAACGATGTTCGATATATTTGAAAACAAAGTAATTTATTTTACATGCTAAATGTTGTGGTGTCATAATCTGCGTATTTTGTAATGTCAATGTTTTAATTAAATTATATCTCAAAAATTTTTAATATTCCTTGTCTTTGTACTTAAATATGGACTTAGTAAGTTGTACAAAAGTTCCTTGTTTTAACTTAACTTGAAGGTATTAAAATATCTTGTAATCATTGTAAATAAAATTTATTTTGAAACGATGAAATGATAATATTTAAAGACAGAATAAGAAATAGAAATCATAAATGGTGACTAAAGACATTAAATATATATTGATAAGAAATAAAATAACCATGATATAAAATACTTAATAATTTAAACTGATAGCTTTAATTATATAATATTTAGTTTTTTAATTAAAAGTTATAACATTTATATTTTAACGATAGTTAATGGAACAGAATCAATATTAATGGTAAAATAATATAATTAATCTGTTGTAAAATTGTTAAAAAATTAATAAAATTCACTTAAATTCAGTTAAACATTTTATTATTCACTGTGTACATCTTTAAAAATTTCTCTTAGTCTCTCTCTTTCTCTCTCTCTCTCTCTCTCTCTCTCTCTCTCTCTCTCTCTCTCTTTCTCGCTTGTTTTAATGTTAATTAGTGAAAGTATTTGCTTATTTGAAGCAATGAATTAGTAGCTTATAACAATAACATTTATACTAATAACTATGAAAATTATTTGTAATTTTATAATAATTTATAGTAAAAGCAATCTCAAATGCAATCTTAAATGCAAATTTTATGTTCGACTTTATATCCAAGGCTCCAAGGTATCTGTCTCTTTATCTATATAATTTCTTGTACAACTTTACATAATAATACAAGCTTTATTTTTCATACAAAATCTTGAGATGTGTGATACATTATCAGTTTATATGCTGCTACTTTAGAAATACATAGATGTCCAACCATCTGTGAACTGTATCTAATATTTCTCATAAAATGTCTATTTCTTAGCTGTATAAGTCGGATTATTTTAGAGTATATCGCTGGCGCAGGACTTTACCTCTGCACTCAAATTGTATTCCAATGCATACATACATTTTGTCCTTAATGTTTGAATTCATTGCAACGAAAGTCGAAATTTTGTACTATAATTTTATAATAATTAGTTTACGTTAAGTAGAAAGAGCTGTTTAGTATTTGATATTAATAGTTAATAGAGTTTCACCTTTGGACATTTTATTAAAAAAAATATCAAGTAAAATGATAATGTTGTCGATTGTATTATGTAGAATTATCGTTAATACTAATAACTATAGCCCTGCAAGTCGAAATATTTCATCCTCCAACCTTTTATGTTTTATAATATAAAAACCTTAGAATATGTATGTAGAAAAACACATGTATAATAAAACAGAAAAAAACATTTTTACATTTTCAGGTTGTAAATGGTATGAGTCGAAATTTCTAAGAATCTTAATAGCAAAAATTTCAGAAGATAAAACCAAAACGTTTATTTTTAAAACTATCATTTGATACTACGATAATTCAATCTTTGATGTGAACAAATTAATATATGACATACTCGCAATAAGCTTAAACAGTGTTATTATAATTTAATACACAGTCTGTATTTTTATAATTAATCCTTAAAATAAAATCAAATTATATTTAATGAACAATAATATTTGGTTTTAATAATGCATGAAAAATATTTTTAAATCAATCGGTAATAATATTTATCCTGTCGATAAAACAGGTACGAACATATTTCTAGGAATTTATTTTAGTAAACAAGTGAAATGTCTTTTACTAATGCTAAAACAAGAATCTATATTAGAAAGTTCGAATTTACTTTTTATTTCTAATGTTAAGATCTTGTTTATATTATACTTGTTCATAATATACTAAATAATATATTTGTATATTAGACATAAAATTATTGTGTAAACTATACAAATATTCAGTGTTTTTATGGTATAACATTATAACCTTATTATAGAAAGTTTATGATACATTAAATACAAAAATTAAAATTAATTAAGAAATATGATATTTATACGTACAATTCGTATATTAAAAATAGCTTACCATTCTAAAGATGGAATTCTTAATTCTAGAATTCGTTTTGCAACGACATCACCGTCAGGGTCAATTTTACCTGAACCAAAAAAGCCTCGTTTTGGCTATTTGGGAGTAATATGTGCAGTTGCAACTGGTATTTTTATAGGAGCTACTATTAGTAAAAATGTAGCTAATTTTTTGGAGGAAAATGACCTATTTGTTCCTTCAGACGATGATGATAATGATTAATATAAATGACAAAGATTTTTTAATCACATCATGTATACATTGAATATAGTATATATTTTTTAAACTATGTAAGTATTTCACAATTTCTGGTTGTGAAAAGCACAAATAAGCTTCCTGTTAAGACTTATTGTTATAAATTTATTTGAAAAAATACTACAACTTTTAATATTAAAATGGATTTATTTATAAATACTACTGATGTTAACAACAAATATAATTACATAACTTATTCATATGTGAAAATGTTTATGCTTTAATGATAAACACAATAATAAATAAATAAATATTGTACAGTATGAAGAATTATTTACTATCCTGCTATTACCTCAATCCTGTTTTTTAATTCTGGGAGTTTAATAGTTTTATTGCATTAAATTTTATTTTACATTTTGAAATTTAATAACTAACTTAAGTAGCTTATTAGTTATTAATTGTTAAGATGTAATATATACACATAAAATTCTTAATATAAAATATTTTAATTTTATAGATCATGAATAAATATATAAATCATTCTATATCACATTCAATAACAAATATTTTTTAATACTTTTATACATATTTACAAGGTAATTATTACAACTTATTATATAAATTATATTGTGTATAGAATAGCACCATTTATTAGTAAAATATGGTTTGAAAATTAAATATTATAGTTAATTTTTTATAGTTAATTTTCGAGATTACTATTTCTAATGTTAAATAATTTTATTAACAATAATTTTATTATTTTAAGTTTTAACTATATAAATTTGGATGATTATTTCATCTAATTTAACTTTAAAATAAAACTGTTATTTATAAATTTATGTTCTATTATTTTAAATACTCATTTATTTATTTATAATGACTATAAATTTTCCTTTCTCGTTATATATTTATTTTAATTGTGTCATTAAAGTAAATATCGAATGATGTAATTTTCTAATTTGTTCTTTTCTTATTCAATAAAACCTTATGTATTATAAATAATTATATAGAAATTCATACAAGATAAAAAGAATACAATTTATTCTGGTGGTCGTTTGTGTATTCCCCATCCGTGAAAGCATTTAGTAAATCGACGTGATTCTTTTCCTTTAGCTGTAACATATAGCTTACGAATCTTCTCTGATTGTTTCACTCTTAGATGTTGAATATAGACCTAAAAATAATATATATAAAGATATTTAGAAATAAAAATTTAATCATAAGTTTAAAAGGTTCTAATATTATTAAGTTACATGAGCTGATTTGTAAGCTAATTTTATTTCGACTTCTGAACACCTTGTGCCGAGCCATAAAAATACTTGCTCCCCATTATCAAGTATCATAATATCATCATCTGCTAAATCATCCTAAAAATAAAATATTTTCAGTAGATTAGATTTTATAAAAAAAATAGTGCATATTTTATATATTAGAAGAAATCTTACTTGACAAAAGTCTGTACATTTTTCACTAATTGTGAAATATCCTTTTTCATTTGAACATCTAAACAATCTGGTGTATTTCATATATTCAGCATCAAATTCATATTGTTTTTTACCACCTAAAGCAACCCAAAAGAAATTTTCTGGCTCTTCACCTTCATTTAATATTTGAAGACTAATCCAAGGCTGTTTTAAATTTTTTTTAATAAATAATCATTTTATAATGTACAGTATTTTTTTTTTTTATTTGAGACTTACATTATTAAACATTTCTTCTGCAATTTCTTCAATTAATCTTGCATCTTCATTATCGCATTTAGATCCAATCCAAACATAGACTATTCCAGTTTCATCAACATTATTAAAGGGCACATTTAAAATATAACTAAAAATACAAGATGGTATACAACCTATTGATACACATAATGTATAGTATATGTTATAGCATTAACATACCAAAAAGCAGAGTTTAACAAGCTCGCATCTGGAGTAATTTGAATCAATCTTGTACATAGAGTACTCCCATTACTTCGTAAATGATAAAATTCCACTTTATTTGCATCATCAGATTTCATTTGCTTCCTTTTACCTTGATGAATAATAAATTTTCTTTTAAAGTGTGCCATGAACTTTAAATTTTCTTGTTGTTGATGTGTTCTAACAACTTCTAATTTTTCACCAAATAAGGATTTGAATTTTTTTTGTAAACTTAAATATAATAGATAAAAATTTATAATACATAAAATTTATCCTATTTCTAGTTCACTCTAGTAATAATTACCTGAATGTAAACGTTAACCAACCCATATTACCAGCATCTCTTCCTTGCCAAAAATAAACCATACATTGAAAATCATCTTCACATTGTTCATCACCATCATCATTTTCATTGACATCTAAAGGCTAAAAATGATAAAACATAATTTATAATATAAGTAAATTAGTAGTTATATAATTGTAGATAGTTAATTTTACCATCCAATATCTGCAAAGGAAAACGTAGCAATCACCACTGTAAAAGTGTCCTAATTCCTCTTCCGGTAAACGAACAAATTTTTTTCCTTCTAAAACAAAAGCTTCCATTGCTTCTAAATCATCATTCCATTCTACCATTAGTTGTTGAGCTTCTGTAGGAGACATTAGAGGTTGACGTGGCATAAATAATGCAGCAAGGTCAGCCTAAATTAAAAAAATATTATTTATATTTGAAAATATATTTTAAAGTATTATATATTAAGAAGTTATTTAATATAACCACTTAAGTTAATTCACGTAAATATATAAGTATACTTTGTATTAAAAAATCACTCTACCTTAGTTTCTTGCTGTTTAGCCCATTTTGTTAAATCAGCACCTGTTTTGGCTACTGATTCAGCAGTTCTTGTAAAATCAACTGCAATTACTTCATCCCAACCAGTGAATTTACTTTTAAAAATTTGTGATTCTGTACCTTCTTGCAGCCTTGTAACAAGTGCATAGTCTGGTCTTTGAATCATATTAAATAGTTCTTGAGACAATTTTACTGCAGCTGCGCGTACTAATCTAGTTGATTTTTTTCCAAACCTAAAATATTAATTAACATAATAAATTCATATAATTCAACATTAATGATATTGAAACATAAAGTTTATAATATACAAATATATACCATACATAAACATCTAAATAACAGTCTAAAATATACACATTTCGATTATTAAGAAGAGTATTGACCAATTTTCCATGAGGTACTTCAACTTGAGGTAATTCTAAATAACCCATTCCTAATCGAACCTGATATAACCTTGGTATAACAGGTGTAAAATTTGGATCAATATGTTCCTGAAGTAAGATAATGTATTACAATTTGATCATCGGAAATACTGATTTACATACAAAGATCTGGTGTAAATGTAATAATAAAAATAAAATACCAATTGAATTCTTACCACTGGCTTTACTGAACTATCAGCACCCAAGCATTTCCAAAATTCTTCAGTTTCGGATCCCATCAACTCGGTTATGATTTCAGATTTGTTTTTTCTTTCGTTTTTATTGATTTTTTCTGCCATTAATCTTGACTTCGACTTTAAAGTATTTTTTGCATTTTTTCCATACCACATGTATATTATTTTACCAAAATCTAGGACAAACACATAATTTGGATCTAAGGATTGTGTAGATACAGGAACTGGTTCTAAATGTATCGAAGCACCAGCAGCATGAACTCTAAATAATCTTGTAACTGATGGCTAGATGAAAATGTATTAAAGTACACATTATATTATTGATTAAAAAAAATAATAAGAATTTAATATAATATTACCGTATCTTCAACAGTATAGAAACCAGATGAAGTTCGTCCACCTTCTATATACGTAATACCAGATTCAAAAAGCATTAAAAATTCATCTGATTCATCTCCTTGTTCTTCTCTTATAGTTCGGCATTGTGCACCAAGAAAATTACGTAAATTAACAGCATGAATGGCTGCACAGGCACGTTTATCAAGCTTCAAAAAGTATTTTTATAAATATGAAAATTCTTTTGACGAATTTACTGTTATATAAATATTGTAATTAATTTAATATATTTTTATACTAAAATTAAGGCATACTGTAGCTTTCTCTCCAATCCAAAAATATATTGCCCACAACATCGATCCACTTTCATCAATACTAGTTTTCAAAACAATATAACAATCTCCTTCATAAAATTTGCCATGAGCTACTTCTTCTATTTGATTTGGCAAAAAATTTTCTATTTCCCAAACGGATAGTCCAGGTCCTTGTCCTGCATCTTCATCAAAGAATTCAGAATAATCTAATGGTGGTTTTTCTAAGGTCTCGTCCCATCTTTTTGGTCTAAGCGTTAAATTCGAAAATATATTGAGGATAATAATTTTCTTCTTAAAGATAATTAAATTATCAAACTTACTTTAATGATTCTGCCTTTGCATCTTCCCAATTACTATCTTTGTTTTTTTCTTTTGCAATATCCTTCATCCCCTAAATTCGTGAATTTTTATATTTTTCAATATTTTTCCTCATAATAAAAATAATTAAATATAATATTTTAACACTACATTGTATAATTGTATATACCTTTAAAATTTTTGCTTGATCTTGATCGGCTTCCTCTTGATCGCGTCTTCGTCTCAACCTCATTTTTCTAGCAATGGGATCTTTACTGCTATCTAAAACAAATTTTTATCAAACATGTTTGATTGGCCTCAAATAATTAATTTTTTTAAATATTTTAATATATTTGTCGTTACAGGCTTAATAATTTTAATTAAAATTAAATATATTAATCTTTAGATAATAATTAAAGTACAGTATGACTTTTTTTATCTAACACTAAGATATTTACTACGTATAACATTCTTTTTAAAGAAATTAATATTTCTTTTAATTATTTTAACCGTTACAGTCTTTTAGCCATTGTATGAAAATTCAATATTATAAAATCAATTTTCAGTTTACTGGCTGTTTGTGCAGGTGCAGGTATATTTGCACCAGCAAGGCGTAGCTGATGTTGTAAAGAAAAGTCAATGTTATAAAATTCGATGCCTGATCCTCTTTGAACTTCTATTGGTTTTGGTGGCATTACTAAATGTGGATTATCTCTTAAATCAAGACATTCTAAATCTGTCAATAGATGAATAGCATCTGGTACAGTGATTAATCTATTACAAGTCAATATAAGTTGTTTTAAAGAACCACATCTAAAGATTAAAAGTATATTTGTTTTTTAATTTTATCATCTAAATATTACAAATAAAAAATTGAATAAAACAGTAGCAGAAGTCACCTGCAAAGTCCTTCCGGGATCATTTCTAAACGATTTTTGGCTGCAGAAAAAACTTGTAAGGATGAAAGTTTTCCAATTCCTGAAGGAATACCTTTAAAATCTAATTCATTGTCATTCAAATACAATCTTCTCAATGATGAAATTTTACAAAGTGAAACAGGCAATGCTGTTAATTTATTTCTACAGAGATTTAAAGTTTCCAATTTTTGCCACATTTCTTAACATACAATAGTAAAATTAGTAAAATTGATATATTATAAAATTGAAGATTAAAATTGTAGTGAATTAGTACCTATCGCAGTTGAAAGTTCAGAAATTTGATTATCACTTAAATTGAGTCGACGAAGATTAGGAAGAGCATAAAGAGCATCTGGAACTCTTGGTAAAGCATTTTGTGATAGATCTAATTCTTGTAAATTTGTTAAACTTTCTAAATTTGAAGGAATATTATTTAAAGTACGTTGGGTATCACGCATTTGTAAAGTTGTCAAATTCATTAAAGAAGGAAGTTGCCTATTAAAATTAATAATTATTTTTATTATGAAATTATATAATAGTACTAGTAATTTTATAACATTACCTTAATTGAAAATGTCCAAGAGGATTATGGTTTAAATTTAAGCTTTGTAAATTAGCTAGTCTGCGCGTTTGAGGTGGTAATGTTTCTAATTGGTTATGACTAAGATCAAGGAATAGTAAATCAGTTAAATGAATAAATAATGTATTTGGAATTGTTTCAATACTGAAAAAAAAGAAAACTATTAATAATATTAAAATATTAATTTTGTTAGTATTATATACTTACTGATTATAACTTAAATTAAGATTTAACAATGAACGAGCTCTTTCAAGTCCTTCTGGAACTTCACGTAAATTATTTTGGCTAATGTCTAAAGTAGTTAGTTCTTCTAAATGAAATAATTCAGCTGGTATTCCACTAGATTTTATGTTATTATGACGTATATTTAAGCTTCTTAAGCATCCAAGTTCAGTTAATTCTCCAAATAATCTTTCTAATTTATTTTTTGTTAATGATAAATGTTCCTATAATAATAATTACTTATTAAGAATTATTCTTTATATACTATTTACAATAGAACAGACAAATATGATTAATAAAAATTAATTATAAATAATTAATTATCTGGAAAATTAAATTTTATATTTTACATATATAAGTATAATAAGAAATTAAAAACAAAATAATTAGTAATTTAAAATCTAATATTAAGCTAACCAATTTTAAAAGTTTTCCCATCTCTTCAGGAATTTCTGCTAAATTTGTATTGTCTAACTTGAGCCATTGAATTCCAGTCATCAAACGCACAGACTCTGGAAATTTTCCTTCCTACAAAATACGAAAATAGAAACAATGTTTTATTTTATTATAAAAAAAATACAAGTTTTATAATGATGTTAAAACCATTTTGCATTACAATTTGAATTAAAAAAAATAAATAAAAAATAAAACATAAACATAAAATTTGGGCTATTAATAAATTATAATTTTGAAATTAAACATCAGACTGTTAAATTTATAATAACTATTATGACTTATTACCAAAAGTATTATCTAGTACATGCAAAAAAGTCAAATTAATATGATTACTAAAGAATAATAAAGCAAGCATTTACTCCAAAATCATTTCTACTAAAGTCCACTCCTCGTACAAATGGTAATACTCCAGTATTAGCCATTATTCCTTTAATTTTGTGATTCCAGAATTAAATCAAGCTATGCATTCGCCTGCGTTAAAATTTCCTTTATATAGATAAACAATTTTTAGCTGCTACTTTTATGCAGGAGGTTAGGTTTATATATAAAATATATATAAAATATATCAATATGTAATTACAGTTTTTTAAGGCTTAAATTACAAAATATGGTTTGTATTGAAAAAAATACAAAAATTTGCTACACTACACTGTATATTTTTAATTCTTTCTATCATTAGGAACCATTAAAACACAGATTCCAAAATAGAAAAAAGTATAATTAAAGAAAACGAATTCCATTTTCCATATTCCTTATTTCAGATTTAGACATTTTTAAACATTGGAGTCAAGCCATAAGTTTTATTTTAAAAAAGGAATTTCCAAGTAAAATCTTATTGCAAGTGAATTGCTCTAATTACATTATATTTTTATTTTAGTTTTAATATTAGTTTTTATAGGAAGTTTCAATTAAATCAATTTTATTATGAAATCTGATACATAATTCACTATCTAACTCTTATTATCAATTATGGTAAAAAGATAGAGTTTATGCGACAGATTAAAATTATTTTTTAATTTTCAAAATTTTCTTAACAATTTGTTAAAATTAGGTCAAATATTTTTGAAAGATCAAAAAGTTAATAAAGACGTCTTGGTTACTTACTATGTAACAAACAATATTTAATATATATATATATATATATATATATATATATATATATATATATATATAAATATTTATTTATTTATTGATTTCTTAATATTTTTCTATACCCCTGAGTATGTAAATAGCTGTACGCAAATTTACAACTTATTAAAATTTTACATAAGAAGAAATTCTAAAAATGTGAAATATGTAAAATAAAAGAAGTGTTGATAATTAGAAAATTTCGATTAATTCGAAGTCATAGTTCATTGCTTTCTGGTTGATTTTAGTGTATAACTTTTGAAAACAAACAGTACAGTTGATCTAGATAATATTCATAATTTTTAGAAAATACCGTTCTTTGAAAAAATGATATATTTAATAATAATATATTTGTAAAAAATTTTGATTTAACAATTTTAACTATAATTATTATTCTGAACATCATAATATACTTTTAAGTAAGATTATAGGCTGATAAATAATAATTTAAGAAATATATCATTTTTTCAAGCATTACATTTTTAGTTTAAGTATGAATGGATATTAATACACAAATCCAAATCTTATTTGAAAAACATTATTTAAACGAATTTTTTGAAGTTTTCCTTTGTTGTCTTTACTAGAAAGTTTGAGAAACTACTTTTTACATAATTTTTATATAAAAAGATATTTTTATTACTTTAAATACTAAATAACATTTAGACAAATTTTTCATTTTTACATTCATAGACAAGAATGTACAAAAGATATGTTACATGAGTATGTATAATTTGATCTTTATATTGAATGTTTTTATAAAAGAAGAAAAATAATATATACAGATTGTTAGACAGACATAGATGATCGATATATGAATATTATATGAGGATTATAAAAATGGTAGTGAAAGAAAATTTCACATTAATAATATTTCTTATATCAATGCAACACTTAATTATTTGAAATATTTAAAATAACTCATTCTTAACATTACTTTTTCAGGTAACATCATTAAAAATAATTTTTAATAACAATTATTATTAAGTAAATAAAATAAAATTCAAATTCGAAATACTGAATCACTAATAAGGAAATAATAATTTTATTCAACTAGGTAATTTTTTGACATACATTACTACTAAATTTAAAAGTAATTATACTTACCAATTTAAATACTTCAAAAAGACGTTATTTTATATATAATTTAAATGTATGGAAAGTGAAGAAATTAAATAATTAGATGAGTTTTATTAAGAAATTATTTAGTAGAGCAATATTTTGTAAGATGTGATTTTACAATATGAACATTAAGATAATCTGTTATCAGATCAGTAACTATTATTATTTTATTCATTAGCCAGTCTCGTGACAGTCTTAATAATAGCCGTGATATACAAAATCTGTCTTTCTGAATAACGTTAATAATTTTGTGATTAGTCTCTTAACAGCTGTAATTGACCCGATGAATTCGCTAACAACGGTTAAGTAGATCATATTTCTGAGAAGCAAAATACTTTGAATAACATTATCTTGGATAAGAATTGATTTGATTTCAAATTCAGATACTTCGTTGACTTGGTCATCGATAATATCTGTATCGGGAATGGATTTTTTGTTAACATATGAATCTCACCCTGGAAGAATAGTTATCGGAAAACTGTGCGTGGGTATACAGCATAACATTTGTTTTTTAATTTACATATAAATAGATGGTCGTTACATATTTATGTGAATATTGCTAACGAATGCAGTCCCATGTATATATTGTTTGTGACTTAAATTTGATTTGTTCGAGGTATCAATGAAAAGACGTTCACGTTTTGCACTAGCCGTAATTGTACGATAGTCTGTATTTCGATAATCCTATGTTTACCGTTATGAATAGAATCGGTGAACTATAACTTTTTGAATGAACTAATATCACTTTATTAACGATGAATTTATGATAGTCCGCAACGTCATTGATTGTACAACGGAAGATATTATTCTTCATCTCAATGAAATTATCAACAAACGGGTAATTATAGTTATTTATGAAGGCAACCGGTATGTTAAGCTGATGTTAATAATAAAGTAAGACGTAAAGTAATATATTCCACGATGCGTGATAAGTCTGATAAGATGACAACCTTTCCTTAAATGGTCGGATGCGCAGCTAATCATCCGATCTGCAAGTATCGTGCTTGCGAGCGTGATTAAGCAATAAACCAATAGTGATACTAGAAGTTCACGATAATATGGTAGAAATTGCTGAATTTGCCAGACATTATTATGAATATAGTTTAAATTAACAATAATGAAAAAGCAATGGATAGTAGAAATGTTATAGTTTCTTTTTACTCATACTGTATTACAAATCATAATGTGGCTTGTGCATAAAAACGTATGCATAATTGACTATGCCTTGAAAGAAAATAGTATTATTGAAGATTCGAACTGTCCTTACCTTAGCATAATCTTATTAGTGCGAAAAAAGAATGGAAATGTGCAAGTTTCGGCTGATAACTATAAACTTAGCAAGATTAGAAAGTCGCGCCAACTCCCTTTACAAATGAATGCAAATTAAATCAACAATTTGTCAAAAAATATATAAAGAGAACCATATTTATAAAATTGATGACTAATACAAGTTTTCATCCGCTTTTCCGATTCGTTAACAATAATATACTTTACTATAAACCATTAATTTCCTTATGACATATTTCTTTAAAAACAATAGCTAATTAAATACATATCTATTCAATTTGTTTTAATAAAAAGGAATTAATGTTCACCATGTTTTTCTTGGTGTTGATGCTGTTATGGTGTTTTTATTTTATAATATAATATTTAATATAATACAATAATTAACATTTGCAGTAAATTGCAAAATTTGAATAATTTAGTCGTTAGGATTGATAACTAGAAAAGAATAAAAAGACGTATGACTTTCATATGCTTAGTAAGGCAAATTTTTTAAAATATTTATTAGATTATTCATTATACAAATTTGAAAAACAAAACAAATATAGTATCAGAATTATACTGTTGGGTAAAAATAGAATAAAATAAAATATGATTTATTGAAATTATTAAAAGAAATACACATGAACATACCCTTTTAACAATTAACTCTAACGAATAGGAGGTGGAAAATCAGAATAAATGAAAACTTAGCATAATGTAATTACATTTATGTAATTAAAAATAATATAATTATGCTAAGATCACGCTTATTAGAATTTATTAAATTACTATAGCAAATAGTATAACAAAAATTTATAACAAAATATTTCAAAAACATTAATTCGACACTTAATTATAAATGCATTTTTAGTGAAATTACAATGATACTAACACTTGCTCTTTACTATACCTTAAGGAATAATGAGCATCCTTAAATCAAAAGAAATATACCTAGCATAAAAAATACCATAAAATCAATAATTAAAGGAACAATTTCATCATATAATATAATGTATTTTTAATCATTAATATATTTATATATATATCTTTTTTTAGATTTTGAAAATTATTGAATTTAATTTCGTATTAATTGGCATAAGTATTATATTTAATTAGTCATCCTATTTAATATTGCGTATATCTTACATATACTGTATTTAAAAAAATAAAAAAAATAAAAATACAAGAATAGAATTCAATAGCCGAAATTCACCTAGCTGTCATGTAACACCCACACACATACCCACGCACGCACTACTAACATAATAATAATAAATACATCCTAAGTGAAATTGAAGTAGATTCATTCATGTTCGTAAGTTGCTGTATTAACATAATCAAGCATAAATTACATGTATATTTATTTTTTACGACTATATATTAATATAAAGACTCGATATGACAAGTACAAGTAAGTACATAAATTAAGTAAAGAACTTATCCTTAATTTATTATATAATAAATTAGTTTCGTTAAATAATATCTCATTTAAATATAATTTATTAATTTTGATTTGTTGATTTATCAAAAGGTAATTAGTTTTTTATTTACCTTCAAACATAAATTGTTTACATCTGTTCATAATAAATACTTTTAAATCATTGCGCAATCGTTTCATCAGAATATGTAAGTTTATAAATTTTATATTGAAAGAAACTTCATATCAACTATATATTTATAATAGTTATCTAAACTCGAATGTTTATGAATTATCAATGTATAAACTAAATAAAGTCTAATTAGAAACTAATGAAAGATTCGTTGTTTATGTATTAGAATTATTATTTGTATTACTCATAAGTTGATTCGGAGAAATATAATTAATTGATTAAACAGTTACTACAATTAATTAATAATGACATTATAATAATTGATTATTATGATTTTTATGAAAATTATTTCGTATGATAGGCATTGGTTAATTTATTGGATAATTTTAGTAGTAAACAATGATTTCAGTAATGACAAAATTAATAAAATAAAATCATTTCAAAATTATCGTATAGTAGATACTTATATTACATAATGAGAAGAAGCATT